GATATTCAATTCAAAAACTCGCGTTTAAAAATTTACACGCGAACAAAATATATATATATGCATATATATATATATATACACAGTTTTCCGCACAACATCCTGCGATCGGCTCGGATGACCGTATTATTTCTTAGTTTAGTAACTTATCGAGCTTTAATAAAACTAAAGTGTCTGACACTAAAAAGTTTTTGCGCGGAGCGCTTACACACCATGCGCGCGACTAACTGACGTGCGCCTGGCTAAAGGTCAACGCTAATTGGCTTGATTTATTCAATAATTACTCAATAATTATTGTGAATTTTGCAAAATGGCAAATAACTTTTCTATTCAGTTTAACTCAATCTCTATACTTCGGCTGTGTCAAAATTTTACGGACCTGTATAATATAAGAATTTTATATTTATATACAGAGTGACGCTCAAACTTTGTGATCTGACAGGAAATGTAACTCTAAACAAAAAATTTTTTATTCGAAACATGGATCCAAAAATGCTTTCTTAAATAATTAGCGTCCAAACACTCTGAGATTATGTTTTTTTTAAATATATTTTTATATACGTTTTTTTAAACAAAATAAAAATCTTTTTATTCCATAAAAATGCAATAATTCTTTATAAACTAAAACAACACTTTTTAATAAGAAATAAATAAAAAACTAATGAATAAAACTAATTGTTCTCGAAATGTTTTTCTCCAGCTTCAATATATCGGCACGAGTAGCGATCTATCTGCTGAGCCTTATTTATAAAACCATATATCGTGGACGATAATTTTTGCATAAATGACTCACTCAATACCAAATATACGATATTTATCGCATGCAAATTACTTATGAAAATTCGAGATAAGAGAAAATACAAATTTATTGTGTGATATTCTANTGACATTCAAGAAATATCGTAGGCGATATTATTATAGAATAAAGCCCAGTCGCTTGACTGATTTGTGGCTAAGCGCGTGGAGAGGAATATTCTTTTCAGAGGTTTACTTTTTAAGATAAGTTTTTAAGGACGTTCTCCGACTACAGTGGTTAGTAACCTAAATACAGTGGTTAGCAACCTAAAATATCTCTTCTTATGAGTAAGTTTGTACTGCTGTAACAAAGTTAAGTTGAGCTATTCAGCACTGCTAAGACCCGCTTACTCTGCGCAGAAGTTCAAAAATAGCTGCAGTACACACCGCACATAAATCCTGCAAAAAAATAAAAAAATAAAAATAAAAAAAGCTACAGTTCGAAAACAAAGGGTTGCTTGCCATATTATTCAAAATCGTATTTTAAGTAAAACACTCTCCACTACCACATACTTGTTTTTTAACAAAATCCTAAGAAAATTGTCGTCAGTAATTTTAAAAAACCCCATTTCACAAAGGCTCAGCATAGGAAATCCATGTTAAAAATTGAAATATAAATCTTTCATATTTTGGAATTTAACATTGCTACCCCTATTATCCAAACAGGCTACGTATAAATAGATCATAAATTATGTATACCGCAAATTTAAAGAAAATCCTAAGAAAAGCAATAATTCGGAGATCGTCCTTAAGAAAGCGGTTTTGAACCTATGTTTATAAAAAATTTTGTTTCTATTTAAATTTTCTATCAGACCACAAAGTCCAGCCGGAACGTTCGACGCCACTCTATGTACAGAATTTTCAAAAAATATGGAAATCTCTTATTTCGAAAAATACACATTTTTGAAATAAATATTGGTAATTATGCAGTTATACGGACTATTTTCTGATCTCAACAATTTTGACATATGTTATCAAGGTCACCTCCCTGAATAATAATATGAAGGTTTTATCCGTCGCTCATTGTTTATAAAAAACTTATGAACAAAAAAAGTTTCATGAATAAACTATTGTTTTTCGACACCGT